ATGCAGATGTGGCCCATAGGATTAAGGCGAGATGGTGTAATTGGAGAAGTGCGTCTGGAGTGTTGTGCGATAAACGAATACCCATTAAACTAAAAGGTAAGTTCTATAGAACGGCTATTAGACCAGCTATGTTGTATGAGACAGAGTGTTGGGCAACCAAGAAACAACATGTAGATAAGATGAGTGTGGCTGAGATGAGAATGCTAAGGTAGATGTGTGGTAAGACTAGACAAGATAGAATTAAGAATGAGTGTATTCAGGAATGGGTAGAAGTAGCACCGATAGAAGGTAAGTTGAGAGAAAATCGATTGAGATGGTTTGGTCATATTCAACGGAGACCAACAGAGGCAGTAGTGAAGAGATGCGATGCTGTAACGGTAGATGGAAGTGTTAGAGGACGGGGTAGGCCTAGATTAACATTGGCTAGCGTTATAAATAGAGATATGAATCTACTTAATTTTACTAATGAAATGGCCATTGATAGGGCTGCGTGGAGAAGAAGGATTCATGTAGCTGACCCCATTTGATGGGACTTAAGGTTTTGTTTGGTTTGGTTTATTGTTATTATTGTTATTTCCCCAATAAGTGATATAATGGAATGAGCTCATAACCCAGTGAATATACCAATTTGACATCAAGGAATAAGAATAAATATCTACTGTATATATCTTCAAAATAAAGGAGTACACTATATTATTGTGTAAACCATGTTTCGTGTAACTTCATAAATCATGTCTCAAAACAGTGTATGGTAAAGCATGTGCCAACGCAAAATATCATGTATCTCAAAAATCTCATGTGTCATTTAGCCGTGTATCATCTCTCAATGGTGATAGTTATCAACAATAATATAAATAAAGGTTTTGCTAGACCATGTGTAACTCGTGGCTTCTACAACTCATGGATCCACACATATTGAATTTAGAGGCATCATCGAGGTAGTGCCCCTATTTATTCCCTAAGCCGATATGGTTGACATACCCCACTAGATAATCATTCAACCGTTGAGATGAGATACTAGGAGCAATCCCATAGCGATCAAAGTCACCCATTGGAATATCTCTTGGACTTTTATCCATGCATATATGAGTCATGAAATATCACCACAAGATAAGGAAAACAATTATAATACATGTGAGGTACTCCTGAAAACAATTTGTGGGAAAATGAGAAATTTAAATGAAATATACATGAAATGTAAAATTGCTTCGTTGGTGTCCAAAAGTACATAAACACAAGAAGCAAGAACGCGATGTGTATCTAACCTAAGCCAAGTAATCATGAAACACTATTACTAAGCAATTTTAGTATGAATCCTTGTTTAATTTGGTTATTAGGTGATGAGCCATAAATTTAGATTTGCACTATTGCATACCAACTCATCTACCCACAAGGCTCCTAGCAATCCTGTCAACATGTAAACAATGGTTTTAGGTCTCATGCATCAAGGGTCATGTCCTAAGTCCATCCAATTCACAAATTTTTACAACTTATCTTACAGGATAGATTCATGCTGTGCAGAATCCTAACTTTGAAAAATCATAACTCCTAATCTAAGAGTCTAAAAATTATGAAACATTCCAGAAATAATTGTTTAATAGTCTAGTTTCTAACCCAATTCATTTCAAGCAAAAATGTTTTTGGATGAGAGAGTTCCAATTAAATAAGTATTGAAATGTTAGCTTCTGCTAAAAATTCAGTTTCTCCTTATCTGAGAAGCCAATTTCAGTAAAACCAATTGTGAATTAAAACTAGCATAGACCTGTTAGTTTAAATGCAATTCTAAAACAAAGAAATCCAATAAAAATTTGATTGAATTTAATTCTACATATATTCATACATTTTGGGGGAGTGTATATACTATTTTGTATTTTGGGTTTTCTTTTTGTTTATTTTCTATTGCCTGTGTATAGTGTGACACCGTTGTAGCGTCCTTCCTTTTTATTTTAATGATAATCATTCTGGTATATTAGTGGGGTCTATTTAAATGGTATTGTTGAATATATAAATTATGAATTACTCCTCTCTCTATCAGTAACAAGTTAAGCTTTTAGATGAGCTAGTGGTCAACAATTTATTATTGTATCTGAGTAGGTAATATATCCTATATTCTAATTTCCCCGCCTACCCGATAATTGTAATATGAAACTAACACTCTATACCCTCTTAAGATTTTTATTATGGTATCAATTTGAATTTTTTTCCTTTGAAATTCAGATTTTAACATCTTTTTTTGGCAAATTATAATTTAAATACTATTAGGTAGTATCCTATGGCCATGGTTTCAAACTCTGATCTTGGCATACAATTACATGTTCACATTCAAATTTGGGTCCTACCTGTTTCACAGTGATTCTGACCTCCTACGGTTTTCTAATAAGTGAAGTGACTTATATTAAGCAGCTGTAAAGGGGTCCATCCATGCATACAGGGCGTGGAAAAAGGAAACTATGCCCCTCCACATCTATTGATATCTTGAAATTTTACTCTGTAAAATCCAAAAAAGCTGTCCATTGAAGGGTGCACTCTTCTGTTGAGCTGCAAACAACAACCTCAAAAAATGATCCTTTGAGGCTTGAACCCATGTGCAGGAGTTCAAGATTCTCATAGGAATGTGTGTTTTTTTATTTTTTATTTTTACTTTTTTTATTATTATCCCACAAGTACTGCATCATGCAATGATGCTGCCAACTAAAGCTCTCCTCTTACATTGATAGTCCTAGGTTTTAGTAGGCCTATATGGTTTTTACTGCCGAAAATTTCTAAGCTTTTTGAACTCTCTTCGTTGGATATATTGATATACTTTGTAGGCCTCTTTTCTAACAACTTAAGCTTTTGAGAAAATTGATGATCTAAGATGGTATTAGAGCAGCTTATGCTTCTAGGACAATTGATGATCTAACATGGCCCCAAAATAAAAAAGGAGAAAAGCTAAGGGCTCATTCATCTTTTACCCAAAAATTGTCAAGCTTTTTTTGTTTTATTCCTTTATTAGTTTTTTAAATCAAAATTGGTTTTCCTAGTAATTAAGTTCTTGGATTGGGAGAAACCTGCACAGAAACTAACTGTTCATTTTTCTTTTTTGAGCGGCAACATGAAAATCTATCTATTATATATAGAGTGTACAACTGATTTGGTATGAATGTTTTATGAAGCTTCATTACGGATTTATTTTTTTTCCTCAATCAAGAATGTCCAAAAAATTGCTAACTTCTCATTTTTTTTTCCAAAACTATAATTCCGTTAATTTAAACTCCACATCCAGTAAATAACTACTAAACGGTTTTCAAATTCAACCCATCTTCCTCGTTCATTAAACTGCCCATAAGTTTGGATGTAAAATTGCGAACTCATCAACACTAGTTTTACTAAAAATGGAAAAAGAAAAGGATACAAAGTGCTCAAATGAGGAGAAGATGTTCTCCGAGAGTGGGGAAAGAAATTTACAAATGACAAACAACCTTTCAATGTCTAGAAATTAAAACAAATGCACCACTTTGAAAGGGTTGCAATTGAGAACCCAGAGATGACAAATAAGAAAAATATTCCCATAAATCTTCAACTTTTTTCCGACTAAACCAAAAGCACAACATGAAGAAGACTCTTCCAAAAGAGCTCGGGCCCTCTTAGTGGAACCAATCCTTTATAGTCAATAATTAGCATGGAAACAAGAGGACGGGATTACCAAATCAGCCTCTGCTTGACAAAACCACAATGCCAAGGTTACAACATAAACCTGTCTAGTAGGATAAATTGTGAAAATTTGTGAATTGGATAACTTAGGACTTGACCCTTGATGCATGATACCTAAAACCATTTTGAATATGTTGGCAGGATTGCTAAAGGCCTTGTGGGTAGATGAGTTGGGACATGAGAGTTTAGATTTGAACTTAGGGTTTTGTCACCTAATAACCTAATTAAATAACATGATTCTTGCTAGAATTACTTAGTAATATTTTTTTGCATGATTATTTGGTTCAAGGTAGTTATCACATTGCTTTCTTGTTTCTTGTATTGATTTGGACACCAGCTGAGTGATTCTATATGCTATGTATCTTTCATTAATTGTTTTGGAAACATGTGTATGATATATGTAGTTTCTTGGATTCATGTTTCATAACTGTTGGGAGTATTTCATATTTTTATAATTGTTTTATTTATCTTTTGGTAATATTTCATGACTCATATATGCATGGATAAAAATCCAAGGGATATTTTAGTGGGTGACTTTGGTTGCTAGGCTAGTTGTAGACACTCCATTTTTGACCAGTCTTAAGATTTGGGCACTCTGTGAAAAGCTCTCGATGAAGAAATCAGAGATCGTTTCAAGCAACAAGTCAACGATGCAGAGTGACAAACCTTCCCTACGCTCGTTTTGGCCAAAAAGATTTTATGGACTGTAAGACCTATTTTTGAAATATTTTAAGGCAATTGGCATTTTTTCATTTATTTTGGCCATTCTTAGCAGTATGTTTTCCAAAAATGTTTAATCCTCTTTTCAAAAGAGTCGGCTTAGAAAACTAGAATGAATGAGAAAGATGGGGGAAACCTTCTAAGAAAAGTAGTCGGATAAGATCAGGTTGGCCGGATAACTCTTTAGGGAACACGCCAAACAACTTCAGTCCCGGGATGCACGTCCGGACCATTTCTGCTTTACCGGACAACTTTTCGAGGGAATACGCTGGACTACTCTACACCGGCTGCATGAGTCTTATCTTATCAAGCGTGACCTGTTTTGATGTCAACCAAACAGCTTTCTTGTGAGGTGTCCAAAGATCTTGGAACATGCCATCCGGTTCCTAAGTGATCTAGAGGCATATTCCAAGCCTCCCAAGCCTATAAACCCCCCTTTCTTTGGAGGATTAAGGGTTCCAAAAAATTTTAATCCCTAAGAGATTCAAACTTTGAGATAATGACTTAGTTAATTAGGTAATTAACTAATTTGAGTGAGATTTGAACATTGGAATTGATACACTCGGACTATCCTCTTCATCCCTTAGCGTGGAGACTTGGAGCAAGAAATCTCTATTGGCGAGAGGGAGCTTGGATTAGAGTTTGCGATCAGCTTGGGCCCTATCTCTACGAGCTTAGAGGTAATCCCTACTTCCATTTTTAAATTTCTTGCAATTTCCATCCCTATTCTTTTCTTTTGGGAGCTTTCTTGAGATCTTAAGATTATTGTTGGGTTGTTGTTGATCATATAGTTGGATTCTCTCTTCTTTTCCCATTTTCTGTAGTTAGTAGAGGCCTATATAGTGACCTTGGCCTAGTTTGAATTACTTTTTTTTTTCTTGATTTATTATGGATTAGAAACCCTGGCATGGTTTCCTCTACGAGAAGAGATTGGTTCTCTCCTCCCGAATCCATTTTACATGGATTTGAGTAGCTCATACTCATTTCCTTAAGTAGGAGGAGGAGAACCCTTCTCATTAGAGGCTCCATTTTTATGTTATTTTAATTGATTTTTGTTGATATTGAAGCCCAGCCAGGGTTTCCTTCGCAAGTATAGATTGAATCTTCCCTCTCATCACTATTTCATGCATCCGGGTAGTTCATACCCATTTTCATGCATTAGAGGGCGAGAGTCTTTCTATCCTCATTAGAGCCTTCTTTTATTGCTTTATAGATTATTGTTGATGTAGAAGCCCAGGCACGACTTCCTCCTCTAGGATAGATTGAATCTCCTCTCTCGCCGCCATATTTCATGTACCTGGGTAGTTTGTACCCATTTTCATGCATTAGAGGGTGAGAATCTCCTTATCCTCGTCGGAGTTCTCTTCATTCCATTTGATTGCATTTTTCTAACTCTCATTTATTATACCTGTGTGTGCATTGGAACGTGCCTCTTTTCTTCCCCCCTATACTCTCTATCTCTCCTTCCCTTTATCTTGTTTTAGCTTTATTCATGACATTGACATGCTTAGTCTAGAATCATGCATTTGAGCTCTTAGAGCATTATATTTTGATAGGTAAGTGGTGTGTAGCTTTGGTGATTAACATGCCAACTTATTAGTATCCGAGCTCCTAGGACCCATTTTGTGCGACTCTTGCATTAGCTATCACATCTAGGATCATGCATATTTTTAATTAGTTATTTTTTGTTGTGCTTGGCTGGAGTACCCGGTGAGTTTGTTTTTATCTTTCTTTGCATACCATGTAGTTTGGCATCTAGGATCATGCATTGATTTCTAACCCTTTACGCTCATGGCATAGTGTAGAGAAGTACCGGGTGAGCTTCTTTCATCTTTGCATCATGAGTGTGTGATTGTTTCTTATTATGTCTAGCATACTACCATGAGGCTCATGTGATATATCTCTATGTTTGCCTATTGTATGGATGCCTTATTGCCTAAGTTGGAATGACTTCGATCTCTTCGCGTGTTGGTTATCTCGATTTTTCATGAGATTTCTGCTTTCAAACCCTTTCAAAATGGCAGAGAGATTAGAGCATTCCAAAGAAGGTGATTTGGTCTATACTTATTTGTTTCACATAGTAAAGATAACATTAATAATCAGGTTGTATGATCCTATTGTGTTAATAGTTCTCATATCAAGAATTAGTAGAGACTGATATTTGATCGAGTGAGGGGGGTGTTCAATTCGACCTTCTCCCCTTATACCTAAACTCTCGAGCCGAGACACTTTGATTACGATGGACTATGGCCTTTGGCACGAGTCAGGGTTTCTTAGTTTCTCCCAAAAAATTAGGTGGTGATGCAGTCCATTTGTGATTAGTAGATTTTCTATGGATTTGCCAGATTTGGACTCTCATTCTGCTTTACGTTGCACTCATGAAGCCAGACCAAGGATTTAAACTGTTGGGCCGGGCCCTAATACCCTTCAGGAGATCCCACTCCAGTGCTGCTAGTGTCTCAACGGTTGTACACTTACATAATGGGCTATCTCAATAGGATTGGCTTAGGGAATAATCACATGGCACCATCCTGATGTTGTGCAATATGTGTGGATCCACGAATTGTAGAAGTCCTAACTTATTCATGAGATGTTTGAGACAAATGATATTGTGCATTGGTTAATGACACATGAAATTTTTTAGATATGATGTATGACTAATGACACATGAGATTTTTTAGATACATGATATTGAGCATTGGCAGCTTTCTATACGTTGTTTTGGGACATGATTTATGAAGCTATGAGAAATTGTTTTATACCATGATATTGTGTTATTTATTTTGAAGAAACATGTATACAGTTGGTGCTTATTGCCTTGATTTCAAAATTGTATATTACTATGCAACTTTTATTATTCACTGGTCTATGATGTGAGCTCAATCTGTTATTAACATTTTTCAGGTGAGCACACCGAGGGTCAGTGGACTCTGCCGTGGATGGGGACTCCTATTTTTATTATGATCTCTGTTAGGATGTTGAGTCAATTTGTACTTCTAGTTAGTTATTAGGTAGTTAGCTTGAGAAATTTAAGAGTTCAGCATATGGAAGTTGGTTGTGTCCCATAATCTATTCTTGGCTTAACTTGGTGGAGATTTATTTGTGGGGTTTTATTGTGTTGTTATGCCATGACTTTGTTGTGCTTGCATGCTTTGTAGGCAGTGGCTTGTGATTCATGGCTGGTCATGACCTAGATTAGAGGTCTCACATTAGTTGGTAGAAGGGTTTACAGTGTGGTATTGTGGGATAGGGCAATTGTATATTCCTTGAATTCTAGAGCACGATTACAAATATTTAGAGGAGTTGATTGCAACCCATTTTCCTCGAATGAGATGTGTGAAAGACGCCACTAGGAACTAGAATGAAGTCTGTCTAGAGGTCCCAATCCAAGCCTAGCAAGGAGTAGATTATCCGTGTGGATATATAGTACTAGTGGTTGGCCATATATAGAGGTATTCTTCCGAAGTTAGTTCTATATTATGTGTAACTAGGAGAATCTTAAGAAGCACAAAAGGAAGGAGTGTTCAAACTAGCTTGCTTGATTTGTACTTCTAGAGGACACTGGATTGAAGACTTCAAGTTCTACTTCATCAAGATTCAACAAGAGTCAAAGTCTACTTCTTGAATGTGAAGATCCAAGAACAAGATTTTTCAAAGAAGATATTCAAGATTTTGATTCTTGAGTTCAGATTGAGATTTTATCATCTATTAGCTATTAAATAAAGCCATGAAGAACAATCTGATTGTCACGACCACAACCTGTCCCAAACAGGATGGTGTAGTGATCGGCCAATAGTCCTTGACTACCAAAGGCCTAACAAAGCAAAAACAAAATGGACTCTTAAAATAATTGGGGCAAAATTTCTTTTTCATAGATGTACAGAAGCCATTATCTCTTATATTGAGTCCATTTATAACATCCATTCAAAGCAATGCATAACTTGGATTATTATCTTACAACACTGCATAGCTCCAATAAGGAAATAAAATGCAGCACTCAAGTTACAACTTTACAAATCAGTACAAACACATAAGACTGGCTTCTAGTGAACTTCTTTCTATACTTGAACTCTTTGTCACCTACATATATATACATAAGGGAGAGGGGTGAGCCATTGCCTAGTGAATAGTAATAAAGTAAGGCGATAAATGAATGAACATTGGAGAGCACTAGAAGCATAACTTCAAAATATGTCTTTAGCTTGTACAAGGCAAAACATGACTTGACTTTGCAAACATTATATAATGATGAGCATTTCATAGATTACAAGGTGCTTAACCGGCCTGGGTACCGGCTAAACGGATCAAGTGTGAGCTCGGCCATAATACATGATTGGATATTCCCCCAATTGTGGGACATGATCCAAGAATGCCATCTAGGTACATGATAAAAGAGTATAGAATGTTCATTCATAATAAAAATATCAAAGCTTGTAAACATAATCAAGTTTTGCATTGAAAACATAATCTGAAAAACATAGAGTTACTGAATTACTACTCACAAATGGCTCTGAGAACGAGGATGTATCTTCTTCAAAGTTTAACCTACACAAAGCATAAACAATACATTGAAAACATATAGACTAGCAAGCTTATAAATTCATTTCAAGTGCTCTAACTTAGCTTAGTGTTTCTTAATCTTTCTTTAGATTATCTAAGACCTTTCTGAGCCTAATTCGAGTCTAAATTAAATGTCAAACATGTATCGAATGCATGCCTAGAAGTATTCTAAGTGATTAAGGCTTGAAGAATGACGAAGTGTGCCAAAAACTTACGTTGAAAAGGCCTAAGTATTCTACAACAATTTCATATGCTATGTATTGAAAAATATCATGTTTAGATATATAAGGTTTAAGAAGATAGGAAGAAATGAAAAAAAACTAAGGAAAAGAATTAATATGAAATGGTTAAGAAGAAAGTGAGCAGCCTTTACTAATTTAGACATATCTCTTTGTATACTTAGAATTTGGATGTGAGACCGCCACCATTAGAAATTAGGCTTTCGGGACTTGAATTTAAACTCAAGAATCGTTTAAAACCGAGTCCGGATGAGAGATATGCCTATTTGAAATTGGGCTGAAACACGGGAATTCCGCGCGTGCGGGTTGGCACGCACATGCCTTTTATGCAGTCTGAAACTCGATTTCTGGAGGAGCAATCCGCACGTGTGGAAATCCAAACTACATGTGCAGTTCTGGGCTCAACAAGAGGTCCGAAAATCTTCAAGCTCTAACTCTCTTTTCTTGCATGTTCTTGAGCTAGGGTCTCTAAAAACTCAACATAAACTTTGCAAAATCAATGAGAAACATGGGAAAAAGATTGTTTTCCAAATCAGAACTTCAAAACTCGGTTTAAATTCAAGAATCAAGGATCAAACTTGTGAAATTTAACAAGAATTGAGAAAAACCTATCTTGCCATGAACCTTTCTTTTCCTTCCTTTCAATACATGATTCTTAGCTACAAATCTTATGAAAATCAAAGGAACACATGATGATGAAGGTCTACATGCATCAAGAACATCAAGAACAAGATCAAATCAACAAAACCTAGAAGTCTTGTACTTGATTTTCTTCCTAGCTCAATCTCTTCCATTCTTTTCCTAATTTCTTCATTTCTAAACCAAATCAATCCTAGTTTCTTCTTGATTTTAGATGTTAGGGATGATTACTGCAAGGTTTT